AGTCTGTGGTGTGCTGGATTTCAGGGCCATGGGGATTTGGTGATGATATGAGGGTGGGATGATGAAGAGGAAGCAGGACTCCAAATCTGACCATATCACACCTTTCCTAGGCGTGATCATCGACCCACTTGGAGATTAAATCAGACTGAACCGGTGGCTGGAAATTACTATCCTGTCAACACTCGAATCTACATCTTGGTACCTTTCCTGCCACTGCCTCAGACTAGGAAGCACCTCCCAGATACCTGGGGCAGGGTGGGTTTCCACCAGGGACCCACATGTTCAGTCACCCTTACACCTAGGATGGGCACATGCAGCTGACCGTGGTGACCGACCGCTCCCAGGGGGGCAGCAGTCTGAAGGATGGCTCACTGGAGCTCATGGTGAGAGGGGAGCCCCATCCAAGCTGGGTTTCCTCCATAAGGCCCACCCAGACCCAGCCAAGCTTGGAGGCTGTTGTTGGTACCCATGTCCTGCCTGTGGCCTTGGTTCCATCCTCTTCCCTCTCCTCCCTTTCTTGTGCTGGGATTACAGGCCTGCATCACCATGCCTGGCTTTGGAATTGTATTTCTAAGTTCCACTTTCCCTCCTCTTACCCAGTTCCTGCTCAGGCCTTGACTTGTCTTGTGATGATCCTCTTGTTAAGCACTTACATTCTTTGTCCTGGACTCTTGTTAGTTGGGCCTCACTTCTGCTGGGGTCCCCTACCATCAGACTCTGATCTTGGTCTTTCATTTCTGTTAGAACTCCTGCAAGCCTGTACCCAGTTTCTGATTGGGATCACTTGCTCTTTCCTCACTCTTTCCTGGCCACTCCTTGCAGGTGCACAGAAAGCTTTTGGTAGATGATGACCGCGGACTTGCAGAGCCCCTCATGGACTCAGGGACCGGGAAAATCGTGAGAGGGCGCCACCTTGTGCTTTTGAGTTCTGTTAGTGATGCAGCTGAAAGGCACCGACTGCTGGTGGAGAAAGAGGTCCTGGCCCCTCAGGTGGTGCTGGCTCAGGGTGATGGCATTCCCTATTACTCCCAGGCAGCGCCAAGGATGCAGGTGAGTGACAGCGAGAAGAGCAGAAAGGCAGATCCTGAATGACGCCTTCTAAGCCCCTCTTTTCAGGACTGAGTTCACCCTCAGTTTAAGTCTGTCCCCTTAGGAGTGAGCTCCTCCCTGTTGTGAGCAATGTGCTTCAGTATTGAGTTCGGCCTCATCAATGCCCCTTCCCATTCAGCTTCGTTTCCTGCAAGTCAGTGCTGATTGCCAGCCAGGCTCTGACCAATCCCCTTAGCCTTAGCCCTTCTTTCTGCAGTTCTCTGGACTTCGCCAGGACCTACCTCCCCAGGTACATCTGCTTACACTGGCCCGCTGGGGGCCAAAGATGGTGCTGCTGCGCTTGGAGCACCAGTTCGCTGTGACAGAAGATTCACGCGGCAACCTGAGCTCCCCTGTAACCTTGAACTTGCAGGTGAGGAGGGTTGAGCTGAGAAGGAGAAGGGATGAGAGAGAGACAGGGCAAAAACTGGGTTTTGGGGCTCACCTGGGCCCATCTATTCCCTGCAGAACCTGTTCCAGGCCTTCATTATCACCCACCTGATGGAGACCACATTGGCAGCCAACCAGCCCCTGTCCAGGGCTTCCAGGCTGAAGTGGATAACAAATACTGGTGAAGACCTGGCAGGATTCCTGCCTGGGGCTGGCAGCTGAGGGTGGAGTGTGAGGGTTGTTGGCTAGGAGCCAATGTAGAGCTTGAGGACAGGGCCTTAAGAGTGAGCAGTTCAGTAAACCAGCAATGTGCCTGGAGTTTGGAGCATGGAATTTTAACCCCAGGATGTGTTGAGCTCCATCAGTGTCTAATTCTAGGATGGTGTCTGTCACCTTTGGGATATGAACACTATGGAGTTGGAGGATTTGGGGAATCTTGAGGTGGTGTTCAGGCATAGGGAAGTGGTTTAAAGGTCCGGATGTGAGGCCCTGGGGCAGAGGTGAGAGGTGGGTGTGTATGGCTGTGTCCAGGCCTGAGTTCTCTTCTGCTGATCACAGGTCCCACCTCCTACCCTGCTCCCTCCAAGTTGGATCCTACCTCAGTCACACTGCAGCCTATGGAAATACGTACCTTCGTGGCCAGGGTTCAATGGCAAGAATTCAGCTAGGCCTGCCAAAAGGAGGGGCAGACCTCTCCCCTTCTCTTGCTGTGACCACTCACAAACACCATTAAAAGGCTTCTACTAAGACTCAGGTCACCCAGTGACTGTGCATTATTTTTGAGGAGGGATATAGAGTGTCAGATCTAGGGAGGTCAGCTGACCCTCGCTCAGCCCTGACCCCAGGCCCTCCCCATTGGAATCGCCACACCAGCATTTTCTCTCCCCATCTCACTCATCATTTTTTCCCTCTCCTCCCACTCGATCCTTTGTCCACACAGGCCCCCACACAGCTGTCTCAACAAGCACTGAGGATAGACCTGTGCAGGACACAGCATCAGAAAACCAGCTGTACCCTGGGTCTTTCTAATCTGGCCTTTGGGTCAGATCTAGGCAGGGAATCTGGAAGGTTCTGGAGGAGGAGGTGGGACAGAAGCAGGTGCCAGTCTTAGGCTCCTTACTGGTAGGGCAGCCATTATTCCTCCCCCATGAGATTCTTCCTCTTCTCAACTTGTGGAGCCCCTAGCTCATCCTTCTGAGGCAGAGCCTAGTGCTCTCTGGGATTTTAGTGTGTTCTGCTGTCTGTTAAGCAGATGTTGGGGCTGGAGAAATGGCCCTGATTAAAAGCACAGACTGTTCTTCCAGAGGATTTGAGGTCAGCTTCCAGCACCCACATCAGGTGGCTCACCAACCGTAACACCAGCTGTAGAGGGACCCAGTGCCTCTGGCCTTCGCTGTCCATGGTCATCTCCATTCCTACTCATGTGCACACACCCACACATGAAATGGGAAAAAAGTTTTTAAAGGCATTTTCTTTTTTAATTAAAAATTTTCCATATATCCCAACCACAGTTTCCCCTCCTACTCCTGCTATTAATGCCTTCCCCATCCCTTCTCCTCCAGATCCATTCCTCCATTTTTCTTCAGAAAAGAGCAGGCCTCCCAGGCATATCCACATGGCATGACAAGTTACAAGAAGACTAGTCACAACCTTCACATCAAGGCTGGGTGAGGCAACCCAGTAGGAAGAAAGGGGTCCCAAGGGCAGGTGAAAGAGTGAGAGACACCCCACTCCCACTGATAGGGGTCCCACAAAACACCAAGCTAACACCACAACACATATACAGAGGACTAGCACAGAGATGTTGTAGCTGGTTTGTGATCCGTACCTAGGAGACTGAAGCAGGAGCTTCTAGTTCTAGGTCATAGTTAGTGAGGGCCTCTCTCTCTCAAGTAAATATATAAATAAAAATAAATAAAATAACAACTTGGTGTTGTGGCTCACCTGTAATTCCAGCATGAGGGAAAACCTTGTCTTGAAAAACAAAATCAGCAGAAAAAAGCAGTGGTTCTCAACTTTTTTAATGTTGCAGCGCTTTAATGCAGTTCCTCATGTTGTGATCCCAATTATAAAATTATATTCATTGCTATTTCATTTTTAAAAATTTTATAATTTAATTTTACATATCAACCACAGATTTCCTTGTCCCCGCCCCCCGCCTTCCCCCATCCTCCCCCCCATTCCCATCTCCTCCAGGGCAAAAACCCCCCTGAGGATTGAGTTCAACTTGGTAGATTCAGTCCAGGTAGGTCCAGTCCCATCCTCCCAGGCTGAGTGAAGTGTCCCTGTATAAGCCCTAGGTTCCAAACAGCCAGCTCATGCACTGAGGACAGATCCTGGTCCCACTGCCTGGATGCCTCCCAAACAGATGAAGCTAATCAACTGTCTCACTTATTCAGAGGGCCTGATCCAGTTGGGAGCTCCTCAGCTATTGTTTCATACTTAATGTGTTTCTATTCGCTTGGCTATTTGTCCCTGTGCTTTTTCCAACCTTGGTCTCAACAATTCTCGCTCATACAAACCCTCCTCTTTCTCGACAATTGGACTCCCGGAGCTCCACCTAGGGCCTGGCCGTGGATCTCTGCATCCAGTTCCCTCAGTCACTGGATGAGGTTTCTAGCACAACAATTAGGGTGTTTGGACATCTTATCACCAGTGTAGGTCAGTTTGGGCTTTCTCTCAACCATTGCCAGTCGTCTATTGTGAAGGTATCTTTGTGGATTTCTGGGGACCTCTCTAGCACTTTGCTTCTTCCTATTCTCATGTGGTCTTCATTTACCATGGTCTCCCATTCCTTGTTTTCCTCTCTGTTCTTGATCCAGCTGGGATCTCCTGCTCCCCTCAGCTCTCTTTCCCTCGCCCTTGCCCTTCCTTACCACCACTCACGTCCAGGTTGTTCATGTAGATGTCATCCATTTCTCTGTCATTGGGCGATCTCTGTGTCTTTCTTGGGGTCCTGTTTTCTAGGTAGCCTCCCTGGAGTTGTGAGTAGCAGTCTAGTCATCTTTGTTTTACATCTAGTATCCTCCTAT